TACAGTAAACATCAATCCAATATATATGCCGACCAGTAAAAACAAGGACTCAACTATGGTTGATAGCCTAATCTGACAGCCTGTTATACTCACAACTATACTCGAAGTCACCTAACTTATCTATTTATCGTCATACTCATACTTACTCTATGCCGTTTATGTTTGCTACCTCCAGTAAACATCTCAACTGTAGTCGACGTAACCTGCGTGACTACCTATAGTGACCGCCAGGCCCGCACACATGCTCGTAGCTAACCATAATGCCCCGGCAACACATAATAGACTAACCCAACGATCAACGGTGGTCATCGCCTGTCAAATTGCAATCACCACACATTTTGACAGCGCGCTCCCAACTCCTACCCTTGATTGTACCCCGTACTCCCCTCCCTCCATTACCCGAAACAATGAGCTGTCGCTCACATCGACTACTTAGCGTAACTGCTATTCGCGACGCAGATTATGGCACCTATGCAATGCACGGCAACGTAATACAACGACCAACGACGGCGCTCCATACTCATAACGCCACGCGTTGATAATGCGCCCGCCATGAATTTACGAAAACACCATTGGCGAATTGCATTTTGTTCATTGGCATCACTGATACAAGCTTGATTGGTAATCGCTCCATTTTTTCATTTTCTTAAGATCCACTTCACGGGACAGGATTCTGAAACGGAAAATGGGCAAGCAATTAATCTTCGGGAACAGCATTTAAGCGTCTGGATGTAAGGGAATTTTATCTGTTTGCTTACCTGGATGAGTGATATATGTATAGTCGTTGCGGATTGCCATGGGTTCATTGATTCGGCATTTGAGGCCTTTGAGTTACAATCACACGAATTCCTCGTCATCACGGCATTCAAAAGGAAGGTCTACAAAGCGCATGCTAAGAAATTAGACCTCAGATTCATCATCATCATCATCATCATCATCATCATCATCGACAGCATGACATCAGTGTTCAACACCGATGCTTCACTGCCGTAGGCCTCAAATTACCTGATTAGCGGCGTAGGTCGTCATCCGGGAAACCACACGTAGAACGTAGATGTCTCCCTCCCGAATTTCTCGGCGGTCACAATAATGAGTTGTGTGCATTTCCTATTCGCGCGTTAGCCGTTCGCTGTAATGAGCGACCTTCTGTACGGCATGCTCCAGGCTATCTGAGTGATGCACACGCCTCTTCAAACGCCCGTTGGCGTTCTCAAGGCGATTGTTGGTCACATTCCCAAAATGTACCAACCCAAGTTGTGCAAGAACGGCCCACTTTCGAGTGATGTGGAGCCAGTGGGCAGTCAAATAAGAGACAAAACTGGGATCTGTTCCCCTCAGAATTTGCAAATCGTGGCAAAATCTACGCGAACAATGTTTGGTGCACAGTTACTTACTCAGCTGCATTGTCAAAGCGAACCACGCGGTGGAATATATGCCGACTGCGGTTGGATATTGTCTGCAAAAGTTACACCAGAACAATGAAACGTGCGTGCTTCCGGATGCGTGAAAACAGCGCAGCATTATATCGCAGCCGAATACAGCTTTGGCAGCCCGCATCTGCGAAGTCATCTTGTCCATGACGAACTTTTTGACTTCAGAGTGTCCACCCATCATATCCTCGAACAAGCTGATAGCTTGCGCAATGACGCAAGATGCTCGCTTTCGACAAAGGCATACATTACGAGTCGACCGACACCCAGGCCATCCGTCACGAGGAATGTATAAAGCTTGTACCTTAACAGCGAACGTCAGAGGCTCTAAATTTGTTTACCCAAGACGGTTAGTACCGTGTGTAGCATCAACGTTTACAACGTCCGGGAACCGTCTAAAGAGTGCTATCTGCTGCGTTCGAGAAAAGCACAGGTGACTATATCTGCCACCCTCCGAATCCACCAGCAGCGCGCGACCGCACTCTCGAAACTTGGCTATGATGGACGACATGTCATCTAAGAAACCGACTAAAAGGCAACCAACGACCTACCCAACAATGGGGGTGGACATTTGACGCGATAGTTACGCACATCCTTGATAGTGAGTACCTTTTCAAAGTGGTCGGAGACGTACTGCGGAATCTCTGATGAGGAAGCACCGTATTTCAAAAGGGTAGAACACTCTTTTAATTCATCATTTGTCAGTCGCCGGTTGGTGGTGAGCCTGTCAAAAATAAACTTGCTGCGTGGATGGTTGTGCTCCAGGTAGTAGGAATTAACCCTCAAGCAGTCATGGTACCGGCGAACATGGAACATTGCCGGACAATCAGTACGACGTGTGGTACCGCGTACACACAATGAACCATGAACTTACTAGGTGCGACGATTTCCACGGCTTCGGCTTCGACTGCAGGGATGTCTGCTGCAACGGTAGAAGGCTTTTTCATGCAAAAGTGGCGAATTGATGTTCTTTTTGTAGTTTTTGCGGAAGAAAACAGCGAAATGTTTCGCCTGGTACTCTTTCAACGCGACTTGAATGCACTGAATCTTAAGTAGGTTTAAACAACTTTTAACAAAACTGCGGTCGTTTGAGAAGGTTTCATACGCCCGAAAAATTACCATCAAATGTTATACCTTTATGTTAAAGTTTTCCTCCTTCGAACCACGGTTTCAGAGAAATTTTGGGTGTGCGTCTAGCCGCCGGCCATGATCAATGGGTTGGCCTTTCGAATGCTGCCAGCCCGCTCCAAGATCTCCTGTACGTCAGCTGGGGAAGAAAGAGTAACCAGAAGTCCAAGAGTTCGCTTACTTCCCTTCTGGCCTAGCCGTTCTGCGTGGCTCGATTTATCAGGCTTGGTGGGGACATTACTAAGGATCGACTGTGCCAGCTTCGCTAGCGTGATTTTTCCGGAGAATGACCCCCAGATTATCAGTCCGGTTCCCCTGGGGAGCCTGTCCACCAGAAACTCTGTGGTGGTTTTTATAGCCGCGTCAGAAAGTTGTATGACTTTCTTCGCAGCCATGGGTCCCGGTATGGATATCGCGAGGTATTGGTTCAGCGAAGAAAGTTCCTTGTCAACTTTCGTCCAAGTCGCTGCATTCTTAGCACCTGAGTCCTCCAGTGCCTTTGAAATACGATCCAATTTCGCGTAGAGTATTCCGATTAAAGCGGAACACTGACAGTGGTCTTTCTGAATCTGCACTGGGGATTGGGTACCGTTTTGGGGGACTCTCCTCTTCGCTGCGGTATGCATCGCACCCTTGACGTAGAGGCAGCTGGCGCAGACAAACGGGTCAGGAGAGTTAGCTAGTTGGCTTATCTGGTCGTCCTGTAAACCCGCGCATTTCAAATGCCACCAGGCCTTGCAGGTTTGGCACTGTATACCGCGTTTGACGGTCGACGGGCAGCCATTTCGCCCACATCTGTTGTGGTCTATCAGTGGCTACAGAGGGCAGTCGGTATAAATTGATGTCATGTTTCGAAATAGATGTAAAATAGGAAGTGTGCGCAAAATATAAAGGGTTATCTCTCAAATGTTTTGTTAGAGTAATAAAATTCAACAATTACCCGTGTGTACTCTGTGAATAGGTTGAACAGCGAAAAAATTCTTTGACGAAATTGCACGAGGGAAAAACGAACCCGATTTCGAATGTACCGCGCGTTGGTGGTTCGATCAGTAGTTCGTACCTCGTTGCTCGTATCATCCTTAGCGGCCAGAGAAAGGACTCGCATAAAAATCGTCTAGCAGTGGCTTGAGGTGGGTGCACGATGCTGCCTCAACCGTCGGGGGAAGGGTATTCCACGCACCAACATCTTAAATGGAGAAAATTTCGCATAAAAATCGTCTAGCAGTGGCTTGAGGTGGGTGCACGATGCTGCCTCAACCGTCGGGGGAAGGGTATTCCACGCACCAACTATCTTAAATGAGAAAATTTTTTGCCTAATGAAGGTGTGCAATCTGGGCTCGAAAATGTCCAAACATGTTCGTTGGGTAAACAACTAAGAACTTTTTGACAAAACCTTGCTCAAACAGGGCATAAGTAAGTGTTATGTCTCCCCGGAAGCGACGACACTCCTGGGTGAGGGACCAGGCACCGCGAGACGTCTCTCATGAACAACGAATTAAAGGTCGGCAACAATTTCCGAAGCAGCCGGTTGGGCAAGCTCAGAATGCTTACCTCTTATGTGTATCACGAGTGAACGATTTGGTAAGTGTATTCAAGAGTATGTCTCTCGTATACCCGTTAGAGCATCTGGCAGTTCATGCGAGTGATACGGTGGGACGTCCGTCGAATCACCCGTAGAACAGCAATGCCTTTTGAGCCGATTCTTGAAAACGAGGTTATAAGCACATGTTTGAAGAGAGCTAGATTCTCAAATCTCTTCTGACATCTGTCATCGTAATTCTATTCTAATTCAATCTGTATATGAATGACAAGCTTTTTCACCGGGTCTCCTCCGAATACCATGTGGACCCACGTTTCGTCGTTCAGAGAAGGTGCAACGCTTACACCCGGATGAAGGGAACTGGAACTTGAGCTCCAGGATTTCAAGCCATCAGCGATAATGGACATGACTAGAAAAAATCCTGGGTGACCGTTAAAGTAAATCGAAAACAATGGTCTCAAAACAGAGCCATGAGGGACTCCATTCGAGGCTGATACACGAGACGAACTGATGGAGCCCATTTCTACTCGAAATGTTCTATATGATGAACACATCTCATTTCAGTGGATAAGTTTCATTGAATTACATGAGACCCAAGATTGCGTGGCAGCTTGCTATGCGGGACTCGATGGGCTGCTGCTAGGAGGTCAAAAATGGCATCCGATATGAAAGCTTTGTCCTTAGTTTGTTCGTAATTACTGACATTTTCGTCAAGCAGGAACTGTCACGATGGAATATATCTTCCGCTAGAGGTATCAAGCTGTTGATAGTGAGTTGATCTCAGTTGATCCACCTCATAATTCGTTCCATAATTTTGCACCGGACGCCAGTGAAGTTAATGCGCTTGTAGCTCGCAGGCGATAGTCGGCCACCAGTAATTTTAGGTTAGCATACCAACTATCCCTTTCCAAGAAGAGAGAAGTTTTCTTTCATTAAGTGACTGCACAAACAACAGGCAAATATGCTCTAGCAGTGCAGGCGAGGTTTTCTTGGACAGACCTTGTCTGGTCAAAACCAACCGGAGGGGTTTTTATTGTGCAAGAGCTGGCAAACATGCTCCTCCGGTAGGAGAAATTTGGTTAGAAGTAGTTCGTATCTAAGTCTTCACAAGATTGGATGTGACTCGGTCTCTCTGTGGGATTCAGGTCACACTTTTTGGCCACCCGTGAGTTCGCGTTTCTGTTCCGCAAAGAGAGGCCTGTTGGCTTGTTTCTTCGGCGGTTTCTCATGTACTAAAATAGAACTTTTTCGTCTTTTCCTGATTGTGTCCAGTACCGCGGGTTGTTTTGTATGTTTCATTCGCGGATTTGAGATTTACAACAGTTCCGCATTTAACGAATTTCCACCTTGTCTTCTGTGCGTCTTGTGGCATTTTCTGAAAAATATTTGAGACAAATTTTCCAGAGGACGCTGAATGCTTTTGTTAATAATAACATTAATGTTTATTCCCAAACTGTGGGTGGCATACCGACTGGATTGATCATAAGTTTACAGTCAGAATGAAGTATGACTGGGGGGTTTGTGGGGGTGTTGATTGCACGAAAAGGGAACAATGGCATGAACGGTGGGGAATATCCGATGAAATAGTAATAATAGGTTTCTTTCCAAACTAGTTGGGAACAATGGGCGTGAGGTCCAACTAGTTCAAAGACAGGCTGCTGGCATGAACTAAAACTGAAAACCATTGCTGGCCATGAGTCACCTTGGGCTTTTAGATAATGGCCGGAGTCACATCGAGCAAAAGTGGAGATGGAGATGTAATAATTCAAATTGTGAGCACATGGTGAGTTTTGTCTCAAAAATTCGTTTAATCTGAAACTAAGCAGACTCACTGGTTGCGCTGTTGTATGGAAGTCAGGTGCAGGGACTGGGTTGGATGAGGGCAAGTTGCTATCACATAGGGTGACCCGAACCGTATACGGATTTGAACTTGTGGATAAGGCAAGCCGAAATTGCAGCAGAAAAACCAGGCTTCACACCGATTTATCTCGAACGCACACCGTGTCAGCCCCCAAATTTTCTGGACAATAGTCATGGATAACTACTCCACTGGTGCTGGTCCCGGTGTTGATTGGTCACGGAAGTTACGCCCTTCCGAGAAGTCTGCATAGCAGACGTGTCGAATCCGCGTTTGAGGCTCCGGGCTTCTGGCCCATTAATCGGTTGGCATATAGTGAGCCCTGTGGAGCTTCAGTTAATAATTGATCAATGAAGCATCTTTCATTTGTGGTAAACAAATCCACCAGGAACGGTTGGTGGCCTGCGCCAAATCCGGCAGACGTGACTAAATATGGGGTCCAAGTGCTTGGTTGAAAAATTTTGTTCGACACCGATGAAACATATCCACCATGCCCGATGGGCTAGAGCTCCATTTAGGAGGTCTTTGGAGCGCTAAAATCCCCTAGCAACAAAAGATAAGAAAAGTGATGGCTGTAGAAGTGTCGCACAACGGTTTGTATGAGAAACTGCGTAATCTCCGGTGGGCTTGGAGGGTGGCAGTTGACCACGCCTGGAATAAGCGAATCGGTCTCGTGCAGCAAGATTTGGATTTGGTGCAGGAGCTGTTTCGGAGATAGGCAGAGTCACATATAGGTACAATGCGACTTAACCCTCCTCCCGCCTTTTCAGTAAGCTCGGAAATTAGGGGAGCCATCTATAGGATCTTCGCAACAGCGATGTCTAGTATGAACTGGGTACTTGAAATTGTGGTCATGGATGGACTAAAAGCTGACGACTTAACGACCGCAGACCTTTTTTGCAGTAACCCACCGGCATCGCTTTCCTATAGTATACATATTGGCTTTCATATATCTTCCGTTCCTGCAGCTTCGATGCCACATGTGTGCTTACTTCTGTATTTTTCCCAAGCATTCAAAATATACCGCCCAGTTGTTTTCTATAAACAACTTTATTAGTACCGGAACGTCTGAGTAACGTTCTTTAGTATATACGACGCATTTGTGTTCTCACTGAAATGTAAAAACAAGGGCGCAAGAATTTTCACAACTTTTTAAAGTTTGTTTTACGCCAACACCTCGTTCGATCTGTACCCTAATGTTACTGGGAATTTTTAGACTTTCAATTTTTTTAGACACCCCTCCGCGTCAGGCAGTAAGGTGAAGTCGGATACACGAGACTAGCATAATGCTTCACTTAATTGAAATGCGCCGCTACTAATAAGCATGGGAATTTTCTGACCTCAATCCAAAAATCTGGTTCATTTTTTGAACAGGGTCAAGCCGCTTGATCCCATACGGTTGCATAACTTCCGGGAATAATCTCATGTCATGTCAGGGGGTTCCGCTCAAGCTTGCCAGGTATGAATCATTATATTATTCCAAAAAGTACTGTTAGGCAGCTTACCCAACCGAATGATCCCAAAAATCCTAATTGGTGAATGACTCTATCTGGCTCTGTAATGCTCCTAACGTTGGGTTGAGCCTCTCGTAAACGCCTGGAGAAAATGCGTCCCACGCTCACATTTAATGCACAGCTGGTCTGTAGTTGACTGAATATTCAGTGATAATAGCAATCACCAAAGGTTTATTTTCTAACTTGTAGTGAACACTGAAGTCGAAGCATGATCGGTTCCTTACAACATGAACACGGTGGGCAACAGCACAGCGGGGAGGAGAGTACAAGCGACGAGATGCGCTTATGACGCAAAAAGTCACCGGTGTTGTGGGGATCAAGAAACTGGGACAGCAGGGCATGTTGATTTGAACTAAGGCAGTAAAATTTTTGCAGACCATGAGCGACCTCTCGCAACAGAGTAAATAAACGAGTTTACAAAAAGCAAAACGAGGCTAAAGATGAACGAAATAAGAGAAGACGAATGGCGAATTTTGTCTCATAATATGGTTTAAAACTAAGTGGGAGCACTTATGTTGGGGTTGTGGGGAAGTCGATTATGAAAAGTAATTTCGATTGGGAGATGGCGTCAATGAATACGGCCGAAGTAGAAGCGTAAATGATTTTGTCAAACGTAGGGAAGCTGCAAACTGAAATTGCAGCGGAGAACCAGGCCGGTTAGATCCAAACATTAGGTTCATGGCTTTAAAAAACTTCCCCCAGAGGTGGTTGTGTTTGGGTGCAAACTTTTTCCGTCGTTTTAATTAAAGGCTCGGCGGTAGGAATAAAATAGTTGCGGGGCAACAGTTC